TCACATAATTCTATATCCATTGTTGATTTAACTACATTTTAAAGAGAGGGTTATTTGCAGACCCTCTTTAGGTTTTTCAAAAAAGACCAGATTGATAAATCCAAGTGCTTTCAATGAAATGACACCCTACATAACTGATGTTCCACTAAAATACGGCTAATGCAGTTTTATGTTCAACACTGCTGCCTGCCCTAATGGTAGTCTCACATCTGTCATTATTTCAGAATCAGGCAATTTACACAACTCTAAAATTCAAAAATGTTTAGTCCAAGAATCTGAATACAGTGTCACAGTTCCTAGAAAACGTCATGTGATTTTGCAATCTAGTAATTGTCAGATTCTGTGCACTTAAATACGTGATACAGAATTTTATTGTTCATAAATCATTTCCTCACTTAGAAATCATCAGTACGTACCAATGCACAACAATGCAATATTTTGCTACGAATCTGAGTGTACATTACAGCAAAATGTGCTACCAACAGAGAAGATGCAGAAAGAAACTGAGTCAGGACAATCACAAAAACATTGCATTATTGCATATATCCCACGGGAAAAAATTCAGTCAAGGCAGTGACTCATGACTTGATTACACCATTCCCAGGGCAATTACATGTGGAACTACTCAGCTTTTCTTCACAGAACATCCAAAAAGAGCTATAATTAGGACCTGTAGATAAAAGTCCTTGCATAGTTTCAGAGACTGTGTGTAGCTGCTGTTCTTGGTCATGTTAAAAGGAACTACTGATCTGCCCAAAGAAAGCCGTATAATACAGCGCCTTATTCCTTTGTTCATTAAATAGTTAGAGGTGGGCATAATTCAAACAAGAATTTTTAGGTTAATTAAACCACTTCAGTTAATAGCAGACATTTTTTTCATAGACTACTATTAAACTAATGAGAGGAGGTATGAATATATTATCAAATTGAAGAGTGGCAAATGTCTCTTCTCGCATGCCCTGTATTTTTCAGCAAATATTTTATATTTAGCTTAAGCATGGCCTAAAAAATATATCAGTTTTATTTCCCTTTATGACTCCTAAAACCACTGAGAGATGGAAGAGAACTTTGGTCAATTTTATTTTCTTTTTGCCTTTCATCAGTGGAGATAAAATAACCTCCCATCACAAAAATGGGAAGCAACCTAAGTGTTCATCAACAGATGAATGGATAAAGAAGATGTGGCACATATATACAATGGAATATTACTCATCCATAAAAAGAAACGAAATTGAGCTATTTGTAGTGAGGTGGATGGACCTACAGTCTGTCATACAGAGTGAAGTAAGTCAGAAAGAGAAAAAAAAAATACCGTATGCTAACACATATATATGGAAACTAAACTAAACTAAAATAAAATAAAATGCTCATGAAGAACCTAGGGGCAAGACGGGAATAAAGACACAGACCTACTAGAGAATGGACTTGAGGATATGGGGAGGGGGAAGCGTAAGCTGGGACAAAGTGAGACCTACCAAACATATATACACTGACCAATCGTAAAATAGATAGCTAGTGGGGAGCAGCCGCATAGCACAGGGAGATCAGCTCGGTGCTTTGTGATCACCTAGAGGGGTGGAATAGGGAGGGTGGGAGGGAGGGAGATGCAAGAGGGAAGAGATATGGTAACATATATATAATTGATTCACTTTGTTATAAAGCAGAAACTAATACACCATTGTAAAGCAATTATACTCCAATAAAGGTGTTTAAAAAAATAATAAAAAATAAAAACAATAAAAAAATAACAAGAGAAAATTTTTCTTATTCCAATTTAATTAATGGATACAGTTTTTTGAACCATATGTTCTACCCTTCACTAGGAATAGATGTTTTCATAGCAGTACTACCATTTTACATTTTGTAGAAACATCACCTTCAAAGGAGTATTGAGGCCAGCTTTTTGGTACACTACTCTATGTGTGAATAAAAGAGTTAAAGCCATGTTGTGAAAAAAGAACCTGCCCTTAAAGATTTGAAAAAGGCATTTCTGCTTTGGTATCTTCATGAAGAGAAAATATAGACCATGTTTTATGATGATTTAATGCATGATGTGCAGAGCTTGCATTTCAGAATTTAAATTTTGAAAGCAATTTTGGCTGATTACAAAAACCGCACTGCCACTTATGACACTTTAATTACAAGTTTCCAGGCAAATATTATGACACTCTATGTTAATTGCTTTCCATGTTTTACAAGTTTATATATATTTAGAGACATGACTAAGTGCCAATGAATGTTGCAGAATTATCGGGCAAAAAAACCTATTGGCCCAATATATTCTATACATTAGTAAAAAAAAAAAAAAAAAGGAACATATGGAGCAAATAAACTAAAAGGAATGTCCCAACACTGCTGTAATCCAACATTTAATGTTGACTATGTAATAAATAAACTGTAATAAGAGAAGAAGGTCAATAACTATAACTTTTTTATGTTGAGACTTAACTCAGCTTTATAGGCCAACAGTTACTTATAAATGTGTTAAATAAAAACAGGTGTTGTGGTTTTGGCATATGTCACTAATCAAACATAAAAAGATGGTCTTTCATGGGGTAGCTCCATCTATAATTTGAGGAAGAGAAATGGATTTGAACCTCAGAGGTTGTGTGTAGGCATCTGGCTCAAATATCCTTAATCAACCAGCTTAAATCATCCAACTTATTCAACTTGCTTTATTGCAAATGAGTTATCTGCTCAGTGGATGATATGTGGCTGTTAGTAAGCTCTACTTTGAGGTCCAGGTTGGTTCCCAGACATCAACGAGGGTCAAAGTCTCAAACTGTAAAGTAATTATTAGGTCAAAGTAATTGGCTGTGAAAGAATGATGGGCTGAAGGGAAAAATCTTCATGTCTTCAAAGACTTTATAATATCAAAAGGCCTCACACTGGATGGGCATTTGAAAGGATGTAAATATTTAAATCTAGAAAGGTGATAAAATCCTGGGTTTATTTATATCAAGCCTAAATGAACATATTACAATGTTAAGAATATATGTGTTATTTTGGTATTCAATGTCAATTATTTATTTACCTGGCTCACATCTATTAAACATACTGATCATATAGTTAATAAACTTTAGATTCTGGCCTTTGATTATTGGTCTTGCCTTTTGTAACTTTCTGAAAAGTTGGATTTATTCTGCTTGCATTATCTTCATGTCCAACACACACAGAACAAAAATCATGCTGAGTACATTTTCAATGTGATGTCTCTATTTTTACTCATTTGATTGTTCCTTTAAAAAATAAAACTATTTTCTTTAGGGAATTATGCCTAAAATATATTATCATTTTAAATAGGAAGTTGTTCAAAAACAGTACTCCAAATTATGATGCTATAACATGAAAAAGGCAACAAAGAAATATGATTGAAGACTACTTTTCTGTAGTAGCAAAAGTTCAAGTTTTACGATCAAAAGCCAAATATTCAAAAGTATTACAGTATTCTTTTTTAAGTTGCATAATAATCAAATCTCCACCAAAGATGACTCCTTCTACTCCTGCCACTTAATGACCATATTTTGCTCAGGCATTTACCTGTCATCATGAATCTAAGGGAATAAACTCATTTCTAACTCCAGGGCAAATCATAGGATCAGTCCAAATCATGGTAGTTAGGAAGTGAAGTTTTGTCCATGGGTAAGTGTGACTTTAGTTGGCAAATTAGACTAAAGAGAAGCACATTTATTGGATGTTAGGAGGAAAGGATTTCCTCTCTTCCTTCTATAGAATAACAAAAACCCTGGCATATTGCAGCTGTGAGGGAGAATCAGCTTAAGGCGAATGCTAAAAATATCCTGTTCCAGAAACATCTTTATTTTCCTCTAGGATTGTCCTGTAAATGGGGGAATCCCTCAGGAAGGCAGAGAGCTTGCTGATGCAGGAGCAAAGTCATCCTACAGCTTCAATGAGCTGGTTTATGCATTGACCTGGAGGCATGCTGAGAGTGGGGAGGACCTAAAGGGATTGGCCTGCGACAGGTCATCCCTGAGGTACCAAAATGGAGGCAAATCATATGAAAATGTTTACAGTTGTATTGAGAATCTGGATTATGATATTTAATTTGAAAAATTCTGACATATACTCACTGTGATCTCCAAACTCTGTCAGAGCTGCTATCCATTTTTATGTAAACTAACGTGGAATTAAATGAACCACTGTTTCATTTTAATTCTGAGGAACATTTGGTTTTGCCATTATTTACCATTGTTTATTGACATATGATATTTCCACAGACCAAAATCTTTCATTACATATATAGGTGAACATATAGTCATAATTGTATAGTATAGAAAATAAATGTTCTGGTATTATCCTCAGCATTTAATAATGCAAAACTAGTGACAAACATCTTTAGAAAAAATAGTCTTTCAGTATTAAAATTTCTTATTAAAAAGTATTAGGTCAGTGTTTCCCTGGTGGCGCAGTGGTTGAGAGTCCACCTGCCGATGCAGGGGACACGGGTTCGTGCCCCGGTCCGGGAAGATCCCACATGCCGCGGAGTGTCTGGGCCCGTGAGCCATGGCCGCTGAGCCTGCGTGTCCGGAGCCTGTGCTCCGCAACGGGAGAGGCCACAACAGTGAGAGGCCCGTGTACCACAAAAAAAAAAAAAAACCCAAAAAGTACTAGATCAGAGTATGGCATGTTCTTAATGCATAGATGAGTTAGGCATGAATAAAATGAATCTAATCCCATCTCTTATGGTAAATCAAAATATTTGAAATCTACAGGTCACAGTTTGTCACAGGTCAATTGAAAAAACAATATATTCAGCTTTTCTGTTATTCTGTGGTTTCATGATGTAACTTTTAAACAATGTATAGCCAGGACATAAACAACATACTGCATACTTACCCAGTGATTTTTTACGCCACACTGCTGAATGCAGGATAAATATATTTGGGCTTTTTATTGCTTGAGTAGAAAGTGCTCATTATGTATTATTTTATGTTTATAATATAAGAATTAAAAAAAAAAGTTTTTTTAAATGGCATACATCACACTGTTGTAGTGGTTGATTTCCTCAAGATCGTCTTCTGTGGTTTTGGTGCAGTGGCAGGAGGCACAGGTGCAGGTCTGAGTGGGGGGAAGCTGTTACTGTGGCTTATTCCCAGCCCTCCATTTTCTAGTGGAAAAGGAGGGAGATGAGGGGGAGGAGGCTGGGCAGGGCCGTGGGGAGGAAGCTTTCCTGGTGGGTGGACAGGTTGGCTGTGTGAGTGGACCTCCCTATTTTTTATGTGATGCCGGGTGTCACAGTCAGGACAATAGCCATGGTACTGGACTTTTTCATTAAACCGAACTCGCTCCCGAGGCCCTGCTTGGGGGCACCTGTCTTTTTCAGGTCTATGCATCAGAGGCTGCACTGGAGCCTTGTCCAAGTTACTGCTGGGTTTGCAGCAAATGTCTCCGTTTGGAATTTTGTTTGGTGCCCCTGGGAAGCCTCTGTTTCGCAGAAGGGTGCCATTGGTCTTTACTGGATTGACAGTGGGCACCACTCTTTGTGGGTCTTCACACTTCACAGGTGTCAACCGTGGAGGGGGAGGGGGAGGGTTTGGCTTTCTCAGGACGGTGAGGATAGCAGATGGGTGGGCTGGGGGTTTAATGAGGGGGGCGTTGGCCTGCACTTTGATCTTCTCTATGCTGGAGGCTGTTGTCCCACTTGAGCTACTGTTCAGGGTGTCCGTTTTGGAGCTGTCAGTCATCTCATCCTCCAGCTGTAGGTCAGAAGTCAGGGTATCAATCTGGTCAACCACCTGGTGGAAAGGACAAGGTAATTGTGTTGAAGAACGACCAAAGCAAAATATACTACAAAAAATATCTTCCTGTCTCACTATAATCTGCTATGGGAATCTTGACTAATACTCAGTGGTGTATTCCATTGTTCTTAATGTTTTCATTCAATAAATTTAGGCAAGGCAGGGTGACTCTGGGTGGCTCCCATGGTAAGTAATAGTGGCTCAGACTAGGATCAAAGAAAAGATGGAGAGAAATGAATGGATTTAAGAACTAAAACTGAAGACCTAGCTCTCATGGTACTAGTGTGAACCAATCACATAAGACACTCATGTGGAGGAAGTAAAATCTCTGAGTCCTCTCTAACTTCTGGTTGAATCTGGCACCTCTTATAACAGGGTTGCTTAGTGTCTCTGCCCTGTTAAGTCATTGTCTGGGGCAACTTGTGGGAAGCATGGCCTCAGGTCAAATGCTCAATTTCAGAACCCAGAAGTTGACCCTCTATCATTTACACTCCCTGCAGTCAGAGATCTTAGAGGCTATTCTCATGGCTACCATACATGTACTAGTATGCCTATAGGAGGAAAGAAAAGTTATGGATTACTTTAAAAATAATTTATTTTTAAATGGGATGAGTCCCCTCATCTCATGTTTCCTTATGTAGACTTTTCCCTCCTCTCTTATTCAGGCCTAAGTTTGTTCAACTGTGAAGTTGGCTCTTTGACACATGGTGGCACAATTGGGCTCAAAATGAAAATATCATTACCAGCAAGAAGTTAGAGAGGACTCAGAGATTTTACTTCCTCCACATGAGTGTCTTATGTGATTGGTTCACACTAGTACCATGAGAGCTAGGTCTTCAGTTTTAGCTCCTAAATCCATTCATTTTTCTCCATCTTCCTTTCTTTGATTCTAGCCTGAGCCACTATTACTTACCATGGGAGCCACCCAGAGTCACCCTGCCTTGCTTCTCACTTCTGTAATCTCAGTGGTCTTTCTAAAAACAGAATTGTGCTCTTGTCATTCCTTGCTTAAAACCTTTCAATGCCTGCTCATTTCTCCTGTGATATATATCAATTCTTAACATGGTCTCTAAGGTCCTGTACAGTCTCAGTGTTGTTCTGATAAGTGTTTAATAACGGGTTCTTAGACGTGTGAGTGAGTCCTGATTTGAAGAGTTTGCCAGTTTCCATGGTGTAAACTCCTGCCATGGTTGACTTCAAGTGAGTAAAGGCAACATCACTAAATGTGAAATTGGGAAGAATCCTGCAGGAGTGCATCATTATAAAGTGTTTCAACCATACCAGTAGAATAGACATAAACTCAGGAGTACAGATAAATATTAAAATGTAGTAAAATAATTAGGAATGACTAGGAATAATTAGAAAAAAATCTTTCTTTTTAATGTAATCCACTTAATATAGGTTTACATTCTTTTGTTTTCAATAATAGTTATTTCACAATTGGCTCACAGGATTTCTGAAAATAAAACAATTGGCCCTTTTTAGCCAGTACAAGACAGCACTCCTAAGTGACCCTCCATACTCAAATCTATTAAGATTCCCTTTTCCCTTCTGTTCTCAAACCTATCCGGTCTTCTTTGAGACCCTCATAATTGCCAGTCAGCTTCCTGCCCCAGGACATTTGCACATACTAATTTTTCATGTAAAGGTCACTGAATTTGTGTGTGTGTGTGTGTGTAAGGAATCATATCATATCTATCTGACACTCCTTAGCTTTAGGCTTCATTAAGTTAAGAATGCACAGGAAAAATTGTACGGCAACTACTGAAGTAATTGACAAACTTACAACTTTCGAAATAAGGATTAAAAAGTGAGTAAGGGAATTTTGGCAAATCTAAAAATGGCAGAAAATAAGAAAACAAACAAAAAAGCATACTAAATAGAAACAAACCCATATGATAGTTTAAAAAACCAAACTTAAAAATATTAATAATATTAATAATCATAACAAGTATAAATAGATTAAAATAATTTATTCAAAAAGGGACACAGAAGGATTGAATACAGAGTGAAAGAAATAAGATATAGCAGGCAAATAACCAAATGAAAACTGATGCAGCTATACTAATACTGAGCAAAAAACCCTGAAATCTGTTTTAATCAAATAGTATTGTATCAATACAAACAGGTGAAAAAAAAATGAATGAAACAAAATTGAAAGTTCATGTACACACACACAAACACACACACACGCACACGCTCAAACAATGGGATAAAAGTTATAAAGAAGTAATTCACATAAGGGATGCTCCAAATTTCCAAAAATCATATACTCAATCTCACTAGTAATCAATGTAGTGCAAACTGAAGAAAAATGAGAAAGTATTTCATTCTGAGTAGTTTAGGAAAAACGAACCAGCCTGATAGTTCTACTTGTTGGTGATGAGGTGGGTAAATGGGAACTCTGTACATTGTCAGTGCAAATGTAAATTCAGTGTGTTGGGAAATTTTTTGACAGTATCTTATAAATTGTATAAGGTGCTTACCCTACCCTACTGTACAGCTATTTTAGGAATGAAGCCTAGACTGTTCTGGAGAAATTCTAAGAGATGTGCACAGGGTTGAAAGAGCACAAGGATGTTTCTTTCAGGTTTTTTTTTTTTTTTTGGTGTTTGTTTGTTTTGCCATAGCAAAAAACTGGAAACAACCTAAATATCTATTAGTAAGTGATGTATGTAAATACAAACTAGTTCAAATGAAGTAACTACAGCTATATTTATCAACAGGGATAAATCTCAAAAATCTTCAGTTGAACATAAAAATTTAAAAATATATATCTCTATATGTATCCAATATATATGTATTGTTTATATGTAGAAGCACAGATGTTTTAGTTTATACAACATGAAAATAAATGACAGACATTAAGTTTAGGCAAGGAGGAAGGGGAAAGACTGTCAGAAGGCATCAGCTATATAGATGAAATATTTTATTTCTTTTCAAACTTGATAAAAAGTAATTATGATAAAGTGTTAACATTTGTTAAGTTCGGGTTATATTTGATACAGTATTTATTTTATGTCATGTGTAAAATCTTTTATAATTTGAAAATAAAATAAATATCACTACTTAAATAAAGTTAGAAAGAAATAAAAGGAGAATTTCTTAACAGCTGCCATGTGGAGAACACATTGAAAGCTGCTGCAGTTTATTTGCTTGTTGAGTTAGAGGATATTGCAGCCAAGTGAGAGATGAGTAAATTCACCATACAAGGAATACACTGTATCCTTATAATTACACTTCTATGTTTAGCTGAAACGATTTCAAAGTATCATATTGCAACTAAAGGAGTTATGACCACAGGCATGATGGAATTAAGGGGAAAGCAAAATGAAAGAAAGTAGGACTAGAGGGACACATTGTTTGCACATATTTGGAGGTGAGAGGACAGCATGACATCAATCAAAAGTCTAAGAACATCCACACCTAACATCAGGAGCAAAGGAGAAATGTGTATCTCAAACTTGAAATTTAGTCATCTTTCTAAGTAATTGTGGCTACTCATATCTACGGAGGAATGTGCTAATGGGAGTGAAACAGAGGGAGATGTAAAGAAAGGGTAATGCCTTCAGTGATTCCAGGAGGTTTTCCTTAGCCTCACATACAAGGAAGCTATGGTTAGATTGTGGAATAATTAGGAATACTGATAATTGTGGCTCAGAGATCACATGAGCTTAAGGTTTTCATATTGGAAAATATCCCTAAATATTTTCATAAAAAGGAAGCAGATTTGGAAGACATTAACTGACTAAATGATCTAAGTTATTTGTGGGAATACAAAATTCAGCTAATACTACTACTGTAAATGTTAAACTGCAAAGAATAAAAATAAAGATACTTCAAGGTTTCAGGCTTGGCATTAGAATGAAATTTAGGATGAATAGATTTACATAAAATTAAAAAAAAAATAAAAACATTAGGAGCTCCTTTTCTTATGCTCTCACTGGACTTTGCCATTTTATTATTACAGTTGGTTCTATATATCAGAATTGTCTATACCTGTGTGTTTCCCTCAGACCATGTAAGCACATATTTCCATCTTTGTACTCCTGGCAGAGAGTACAGTGATTGTACACAGTGGATATTCAATAATAAAATGCTGAGTAAATAAACTGGATAAAGGTAGAACCTCTGAGAAAAGTCATTTCTTGCTCTCACTTCCATCTCTCCCCAGCTTTCCCATCTTGGGTCTGATTTTTGAGGTCTTCAATGTCACCAATTCTGGGTTGTCCAGAAAGGCACACAGGAAAGGATGAAGTAGGAAAAAAGGAAGGCAGCCATAAAGAGTTGGTGAGGCTTAGTGAACTCTCTGCCTATGTTATCTGACTCTGAAAGCCTAGCTCCACAGCTTGGCACAGGGAACATTTCAGTCACTCTCCAAAACAACTAAGATGGTTGAATTACATATTTATCTTTAAATATTCATCAGTATAGCCCTAAATGTATTGAGATATTTCCTAAATCCTACATATTTCAATTAAAAACCACATAATATATAGCTCAATGGCCTTAAAAACAAAACCCTTTTGCAATTTGAGTGAATCTTTCTCTAGGGCCTTCTCAGTAACAAATCACAACTTCAAGAATTTCATTAAGAATTACAAACTTAATGAAAGGAAAGGAGGAATTTAACTCCAACTTAAATATGCACCAAATTATGAGTTCTTCTATATTTAATATTTATTCATAAAAACAACCGGGAAATGAATGAGAGCAATAGGTGAACTAGCTGTCAGACCATGGTCCATGGCTGAATGCAGGCTGACCCAAGAGCTTCATTTCTACTTTTATTTTTAAAATAAATTTATTTATTTATTTGTTTTTATTTTTGGCTGTGTTGGGTCTTCATTGCTGTGTGCGGGCTTCCTCCAGTTGTGGCGAGTGGGGGCTACTCTTCGTTGCAGTGCACAGGCTTCTCATTGCAGTGGCTTCTCTTGTTGCAGAGTAAGGGCTCTAGGTGTGTGGGTTTCAGTAGTTATAGCACGCAGGCT